AACAAATGTTGATCTCATCCGCCAGGCACGCCACGGACACGGCTACCAAAGCGGTTCTGGGTTGCGGAGGCGGGTCCCTTAGGGGGATTTACCGTGCCAAGGTACCTCTGGTCCCCTGTAGAGGTGCTGAGATTACCAAGACCGGCTCAGACCATAAGGGGCTTACTTGCCTCGACAGTGGGGGGGAATACCTACCTACCTACCTAGGTACCTGACTTGCCGAGCAGGCCACTCCAAGAGCCTCCATCACTTCCTCCCCACACGCCCCTTAAAGTGGCAGAATTTTGCCATGCGTGCTTCCCATCTAGGTCCCTCACCTGGGAGGAACTCAGCTAGGTCGGTAGACTCAAGCCCCTGAAGAGCTTGGACCGCTCACCAGGGATGCTGATGAGGTGCTGATGAGGTGCAGCGTCAGTCTGAGAGACGACATCGGGTGGGGCCGTCAACCCGCATCGTCGCGGCTCTCATTCGCCGACTGCGTCATGTAAGGGGAACCTTAAAGGAGTCGAAGGTGAGAAGCTTCACCACATTCGTCTGTCCGCTCCCCTCCAAAATTCCGCTTGCGTGGAAACACACCAACCATCAGCTCTCGACAATAACACGGTGCAGGTTTGGTCAGACGGGTCAGATTCACCATCAAATAGATATACTGTCAATATTCTCTCTGGGACCTAACACTTTCCTCTCCTTCCTTCTTCGTTTCTCCCCCCCCCCCCTTTGTTGCGCCATGTCTCTCCCCTCATCCTCCTCGAAACCGTCACAAACCACCATCAAGTCGTTCTTTCAACCTCGTCAGCCCAAATACGCCGCCCCTCCATCGCAACCACAGCCTCTGCCGAAAGGTCTCAGCTACGAGGCACCACCTCTGCCGCCGTCCCTGACCTTCTCGTCGCAACCGAACCCCGCATCGGCCACCGCCCAGACTGCCATTGCGACCCCTCGCCCCTCGAGCCAGGCTGGGACCCAGACGCAGACCCAGACCCAGCAGCGCCCCGTCGAGATCCCCGCCGAGGCCGCCATCCGTAGCCTCTCGGCCTCCGACATAGCAGCCCTGCGCCGCATCAACGCTCTGCTGCTGCCCGTCGCCTACCCAGACTCGTTCTACACGGCCGCGCTCTCGAGCCCCTTCTCCCGCGCCATCACCTGGTCCGACCCCGCGCCCGCCGCCGCACAAGACCAAGGCGGCGCAGCCTCGCCGTCCCCCGCCGCGCCGAAACTCATCGGCGGCCTCGTCGCCCGCCTCGAGCCCCTGACGGCCACGACGCAGGCCCTGTACATCCAGTCCCTGGCCCTCCTGTCCCCCTACCGCGCCCACGGTCTCGAGACCGGGGCCCTCGCCGACCTCTTCGGCGCCCCCGAGCTCGCCGCCCTCGCGGTCACTACCGTCTACGCCCACGTCTGG